CTGAACTAGGACAATCAGGTGACACCTCATGCTAGTTTACTCTCCTGCTGCTCTGAACTAGGACAATCAGGTGACACCTCATGCTAGTTTACTCTCCTCCTGCTCTGAACTAGGACAATCAGGTGACACCTCATGCTAGTTTACTCTCCTCATGCTCTGAACTAGGACAATCAGATGACACCTCACGCTCTGTCTTGATATCCCCCTCTGTTACCACCAAATCTGCTCGGACAGTTTCTCTGGAAATGCCCTCTATTACCACACTCCCGACAAATATCTAACTGATGGCGAATGAATTACATGGTCCCCTATTATTCGAATTTTAAACGTTGCGAGCTGGCTGATAACGTGTTTGAACTGGTACGTTCCTACGGTCATTATTTCTGATGCCACCCCTAAAACTATTCTTAGCCAGATTTGGGGTCCATAGAAGGCCTGTGGGTTGGCTACTGTCCGAATGGGAAGGAAGATAGTCAAGACGGTAATTTGCCTGCCTTGTGCTCGTCGTCACTTGGTCATGTGTTTGCTCTGGTGCTGTAATTCTAACTCTCTGGTCACCTAGTTCAGAGTTATTTACAGCGAAAATCGTATCCTGGGCCTGAGTGAAGCTACCTGCTTCAGCACTGTCTGCTAACGTGATACGATCAGTATTCACCGCTAGTTTGATTGCCTCACTATATGAATGCAACTGTGTTTCATATAGCTTGGTCATTACAGTCACGTCACGTGCTCCTACAATAAGAACCTGCAAACAACTCCTGTATCTCTCACACTCGGAGTCGTATACAGTCTTTGAAGCAAGCTCCTTTATACGTATTACGTGCAGTGAACTGTTGCTCACCAGCTAACTGAAACAATGACATGAGCTCAGTTCTAAAGACCCATGATAGAGTAGCAGGAAATATCTCCTCTGTGTAGCGTTTAATGAGAAGATCTATATTACATCTATCGTCCGGCCTGAGAGAGATTTTCTGCAGCCTACATATAATATATAATATTATATAATATACGTAGGCTGCAGAAAATCTTAGCACATATAATATATATATATGCTAAGTTCAGATCCTCCGCTATGTCCGCACAGAATCAAATGCTCCTTAAATCACCTGGCAAAACCATGAGGCCTGGTACCTCATGGCAGATGTGGACAAGCTACTGAACTATTTATGGGCGTTATTATGCTGTTAGAAAGGTCATCCTCGTTTCTAAACTCTACACGTTCAGACTTAATAATAGTCGTGCATGTTCGCTTGGATGCCACTGTTAGAACTAACTGGGTGGGCGTTTGTAACTGTGCTAACTAGATTTGTCAAGTAATACTAATATTTGTATACACTCTTCATACTTGAATTATGCTCCTATGCTAAGATGTAACATTGTAAGTTGTAACCTTTGTACTTTCTTGCTAATATTTTATGATCTGTTTTTTTTAATGATCCGTTCTTTTAATTGTATAAATGTGCTAACGGAGAACGCACTTTAACGCACGAACAAAAATGAACGCAATTCACGCACTTTTCCCGAAAAAATGACGCACGAACCAACTATGGGACTCTTGAACGGTGCGAGAGTCTTGGTAATATCTTTTGCTAACTCAGTCTCTCCTGCATCCAGCCTAGCTCCAAGTCATCTAAAATTCCGTGCACTGCATCAGTTATCCGGTCATATCTCTCAAATATACTGCACACTGAGCTCCAACGGGTTTTGTAGTCTCGTTGCAGTCTGAGTTCCTTTCCGTGCTTCAATAAACAACAATAACTACGTCTGACCATACAACCTTCAAATTACTTACTAGATGCGATAACGCAACATTTCAATTTCCACTGCCACAAATTCATACACACATACCATCACACTGCAAATTATGCTATCAGTAGCAGTAGCACTGGGTTTCAACTTTACAATTACAAACAGAGAAATAGATACGGATAATATGTTAAATGTTGGCCATTTTACCATAATAAAAATTGGTTGATTATCGCGATAATTCTCGAAAATTATCGTGATAATCGATAACGATTTCTGGGAAATTATCGCCGATAATATCGGTTAGCAACCCTAATCTTGATAGTTCGTGACATTCAAGTGTCACCATACTTTAACTACACTGGTGAAGTTTATAAATTCATAAAGTAAAACCTACAGGAGGACATGACAATTAGGGTTAAGTTTGAACCAATTTCCCGTGCTAACCAGGTTCTACCATGTGCCAGGAGCCGTTGGGACGCTTTTTGTAAATATTTCACCACGGGTTTGACCAGGTGACATTTAGATCCACCGCTGTAGTATCGGTTGTTATCTATTATACGTTCAATAATCACTGTTCTAACAGTGACCTGTTACTCTGGTCGACACCGCTGCTGCATCTGCATGAGATCAAATGAGAAACTGAGAGAGTGCACGTGAACGCTAACAGGGTGCATAGGTGCATACTGCATAGTGAAGCAAATTTTTAGTTGCCTGTTTAAATTCCTTCCCCATTTATCGTCTTACTTGACAATTCCATTTTTAATCAACCTTCAATCAGAACTTTAAACCAGGGGGAAGCGATCCATAATTGGCATCCGTACGGCAAATATAAAGTGGTGTAAAGCGTTTACACACACGTTCATCAAGTTATTCTGTTATACACAATTGTAAGCTTCTTTCTTAATAATAGCCTCGCAATGCAAAGGAGAATAGTTCACTTAATCTTAAGGTTCGCTGAGACCTATTGACGGGGCAAATTTTACATTTTCTTATTGTCCTGCTGGACATAGAGCTAGCTCTGTGAGGCTGGTCAGTGGTCAGCAAACCTACAATTTATTATTTATTGCATATTATTTACAGTTTACACACTCACCTGACCATCTGATGGCAGGGACAAAAGGATTTCGCGGTAATTTTGGCCAAAAATCGCGATACCGCGAATTACATTTCGCGGTATATTAAACTATACATAAAATCTGTCGCAAATAATGGGAAAATTCGCGATTCCGTACATGCCGCGATTTCCTTTTGTCCCTGTCTGATGGGCATATTGATTATCATGACATAAATGTTATTTATAATGAATTCGGTTACTACATTAAAACCCCAATTTACCGTGGAATTTGGACGTGTCACAGTTCAAACTTGACTGAGCCACCCTGTCAGGTTGTCAATAGGTGTCTAGGAGCTATTCGGCTCGTAAATGTAAAACCACCGTATATGACCGGTGCTGGAGTTTCTAATAATGAGTAATGATCATAGTTCCATACCTCTGGTAGCTATTCCCACGATAGAAATCCTATCTTGATTCACGGCCGTGATGTATGGATTTCCAGGAGATTTCATTCGAAGTCGAATCACTTCGGGCTTATTTTGATAGCTTAGAGCTATTGTAAACCAAATTGCTCCTCTTCTCACTAACTATCGGACGATTTACGTACTAAAGTTCGACAAATAAAGTTCATGGTTTTCGAGTGTCACTATACTATTGTACTAATGAACGTTATAAATTCGAGATCCTGGTGGAATCTACAGGTGGACATGACAAGGATTAAGTTTGACCCATTTTCCCGAACTGACTGTCAATAAACTAAATAATGACTTCTGCTTGAGCGAGCATGCTTTCTCTTTTACACAAAAACTCAGTTACATTCTTGAACAGTGCGAGAGTCTTGGAGTTGGTTATGTCTTTAGCTAACCCAGTCTCTCCTGTATCCAGCTTTAGATTGCCTAGCTCCAAGTTATCTAAAATTCCGTGCACTGCATCAGTTATCCGGTCATATCTCTCCAACATATACTGCACACTGAGCTCCAACGGGTTTTGTAGTCTCGTATATATAATATCGGTTGGCAACCCTACTCCACAGCCTTATTTATGCTAGACTGAATCTCACATTATATTAAAGGACATGTTTAAACCTGGTTGGTGGTTTTGTTTCACTGCCAAAATGGGCAATTATCTCATTTTTACAATAAGTCCATTAATAATAACCCAATGGTCTTGAAACTTTCAAAGATGATTATAATTGTCATAACAAATGTGAGTCCCCTTTCTCTATGTTCTTACTCTCTTCTTCTCTTCTTTCGATAACGTCTCTCCCCTGTCGACGTTTAATGCTGCCTGGTCAACCAGTTTTGATTGTCTACTATTTCTGCCTGGTCTGTGAGTTTAAGCGACAAATATTACATTAAGCCGAAGATATTTAGTTGTTTGAAAATATTTCTTTTGTCTCTGTAACTTATCCCTCCTGCCGACTTTTGATTCTGTCTGGTCTCTCAGTTCTTAAATTCTCTGCAACTGTCCTGCTTCTCTCTCGATCATAAATTTTTTCTCCTACTGATTTCAGTTCTTAAATTCTCTTCAACTGTCCTGCTTCTCTCTCGATCATAAATTTTTTCTCCTACTGATTTTTGGTTCTTCCTGATTGCTCATTTCTGAAAATCCTTTGAAGACATGTCCATGTGTTTGGTACCTTGGAAACTCTTCTCGTGAGCAGCCCAAAATTTGTGTGGTTTGTGGTAAGTATTGTGGACTGAGTGTTTGTAGACTTCCAATCAAATATACTTTATGATTATCCATGGAGTAACTTTGGAATGTTTGTAAATTTTTATCAGGAAAAATTAAGGCCGGTAAACTTAACCTTAGATGTAACACGCCAAAACCAAAGTATTAAAGCTCTTTGGCTAGCATCGAGTACGATACGACGCGCAACTGTGCTTGAAGTGACGACGCACACGAGCGATAAATAGCTATTTATCGCTCGGCCCGGTCAACAGCGATAAGTCACATCGCTCGTGCGCAGCGCACGGCACCCGACTAAGCGGCACCCGACTACGCGAGGCACCCGACTACCATGCAGGCTCATGGTAGTCGGGTGCCGCGCACGAGCAATATGACTTAAGTTCACGACAAAAACGTTACCTTTCAGTCATCGCTCGATTTTTGTGAATTTCTCGATATCATAAATAGAACTAGAAGTTTCTGCATTCTCATTACATGCAGCAAATTAGGACTTAGATTTAGAACTTACGTCAACTCCTTCTAGTTTCCAAGTAAGATTAGTAAAGTCAGCTTTCTCGATAGTTTCCTTCTGTGTCAGAGCTCCTCCAGGTAGGATCATCCACCTTGCCAGTACTCTCTCTGAGAACGCCGCTATGCTACAAAAAAACCTGGAAATTTTCTGGGTTATAAATATAATTTTACCGGTCGGCGGCTTAAAATACACTGGCTCTTGACCGGCTCTAAACCGGCTCTTAACCGGTTCTTAACCGGTTCTTAACCGGTTCTTAAGCGGTTCTTAGCCGGTTCCTAGCCGGTTCTTAAACGGTTCTTAAGCGGCTCTTAAGCGGTTCTTAAACGGCTCTTAAACGGCTCTTAACCGGCTCTCAAGCGGTGGTCGCTGTTTGCCCTATTAGCCAATATAATAATTCTCTTTTATTAAACATACACGTACTTAACTCATGGGGTATCTTAACAGTTAACTCATCGTGTTTGATTTTTTGTTTGTTTGTGTGACCTGTACTCTGACTCTTGTAAGCACAAAAAGGGTTTAACACTTGTAAATTATTTGTTCATTTTCCACATATTCACTGCGATTATATTGCAAAGAAAAATCACATTTTGAGACTTATCATAATCAAAAAATGTTTTGCAGCTCAGTAAGTGGATACTATACACATCTTGTATACTATAAATACAAGATGTGCTGGGACAGCGGGCTGGAATACGCTGATGGCAGGATCAAAGGCACCAGTAATTCATATTGTAATCTTTTAAAAGTGGCTGCACTCTTTGGCCTTTTCATGATTGTCTTCCAGGTAACAGAAATAATATTGTTTTTACAGCATTTCAATACAATGACTTGCATTTATTATCGCACTGAAACTTTAAATTAAAATTGTATTTTTTTAATACCGAAATTTCTGTTTAATTGAACTGAATTAACGCATTTATTCGTATTAATAAAATCTGTTTATCTTATTCAGTCAGCATGGATGGTGATACCAAATATAATTAAGTTTGATAGTATAAATCGAGAGAGACAGATCGCTGATGAAGGGTCGTGTGAATTCTCTGGTGAGTTAACAAAGGATTTTTTGTAAAGATTTAAATTTTCACATCACTACAGGGTGACTAAAAACCAATTCATTTTCTTCTCATTTCATTGTTAATCGTGAGAAATAATTGTTCACCCCACAAATACAATTTCAGGTCATTCCTCTATGGCAGTAGCGTCAGATAACGACATATGTACAAAAATAGGGTCTGATACCCTAAGCAGGGGCGGCAGTGCTGTGGACTCTGCTATCTCAGTCCTAATTTGTCTAGGAGCAGTGCAGCCTCAGTCTAATGGTATCGGAGGAGGGGGCTTCATGATCGTCCACACTAGGAACCAGGACGAAGTTATTAACTTCAGGGAGGTGGCACCGAAAGCATCCACCCCTGAAATGTTTGTAGGTGATGACATTACAAGTTCCCTGTCCCTAAACAGTGGAATGGCAAGTGGAGTTCCAGGATCACTGGCGGGATATTGGAAAGCTCATACACTTTTTGGAAAACTAAACTGGGCTGACCTGTTTGCTCCAACAATAGCTCTGCTGAACGAAACCTTTCCAGTTTCAAAGCATATGGCCTATGCGCTTTCCATCATGAAACGGCATCTGATAAAAGATAAAAACGCAAGGATTACCTTCTTCAAAAATCCTTACGATCAAGAAAGTTATTTGAGAGAAGATGACACGTACCGAAATGATAAATTAGCTACTACCCTCCAACTTATTTCTAATCATGGAACTAAAGCTTTCTATGAAGGAAAAATTGCCAGGAACATTGTTAAGGCCACGGTAAATTAATCAGATTATGCAAAAAAATGTTCATTTTTTTTCAAATGAACGTGAATTTTGTATTTTTCTGTATTTTGAATAATTTGAGGTCATAATATAGTGCTTTGTGTTTGGCCTTTCAAATTACATTAGTGGGATCAGGTGATGGTAAATTGGGTTGGCACTAGATCTTTAGGGTTCTTTTATCAGTGATTCTCATTAATTATCAGTCATATTTACGAGAAACTGGAAAGCATTCAATCTTATTATTATTTCAGAGAGCAAGGGGAGGAATAATGACGATGGAAGATCTAGCAGAGTACAAAGTCCTCCTCCAAGAACCTCTCCAATTCCAATACAGGTCTAAAAATATTTTGTCAGTGCCACCTCCTGCCTCGGGTCATATCCTTTCAATCGTTCTTCAACTTCTTGATAACTGTAACTTAACTTCCCGGGACGCTCGAGCATGGAGCCAAATTATCGAGGCCTTTAGATTTGGGTATGCAGTTAGGGGCCAGACAGGGGACCCAGAATTTTCAGAAAGGACAAAGTCGCTGTTGGAAAAGATTCAAAACGGAACTTGGGCTGAGGAGATCCTTAAAGACCACGCGGATAAGAACAAAAACCAGTTCAAAGGGCCTTACGAAAATGTGGATCGGTACATGCAAGGTGAACCTCTATATGAGAACATTGCCGGGACCCACACCACGCATGTTTCCGTTTTGGGACCGGACGGAAGTGCCGTGTCCTGTACTTCCTCTGTCAACAAATTTTTTGGATCTCGAATCATGACTGATGACGGATTCATTATGAACAGTCAAATGAATGATTTCGCGACCCTTGGAGCTGTCAACTCGTATGGGTTCCCAGCTGCTCCTGAAAATTTTATTGTTCCTGGGAAACGGCCTATGTCATCCGCGTCTCCGTCAATCATTTTAGATGAGGACGGCAGAACTTTTACTACTGGAGGCGAAGGTGGGTCTAGAATAATAACAAGTACCGTTCAGTCTATCATAAACATTCTGGACTGGGACATGGACCTCGAAGAAAGTCTACACGCTAAAAGGTTGCACGATAAGCTTACAATGGCTACCAAGTATGAACTAGGATTTGATACAACGCTAGTAGAGGAGCTGAGGAAGATGGGCTATAACATGGTAGAGCACAAAGGGATCATGTCGTGCGTCAACAGTGTTTCTAGTTTAAGAAGAGGGAAGACTGAGGCTAGTGGTGATCCAAGAAAAGGAGGGTCTGGACGGGTAGTGGCATCTAAGCGTGAATATTGTCTACCGTGGTTCAAGCTTTCAAGTGATCGGCAGCGGCGTTGGCCAAATTAACACCGGCGTGAAATCAATGTCAAGTGAATTTCGGTTTATAGTGTAGTTAAATTCATCGACTAGACAATTCATGCTTAGGTCCAGCCGTAAAATTTGAACATTCTATCGTTTGAGACCCCAACGATTCAAGACTGAATTGAATTTGCATTTACTGTATACTGATTATTTGCGAACATACCAGACACCAAGTGTTTTCATATTGCAATAGATTACTTTTTACCAAAACCCAAATTGGGTTTTTTGTAAGCCAGAATCCCGGTCCCGGTCTTTTCACTTTTGTGAACTTTCGTCGATTACAGTGGGTGTGAGCCCAGGGATCGGCCGGGACTGCTTTTTTGGACGGGCCTGGGACTGGAAAAAGTGTCGGGACCGGGAATAAGACCGGGACCGGAATAAGACCGGGGCCGGAATAAGACCGCGGCCGGGATTAAGCCGGGATCGTAGCTAACAAAAATGTTACTTTCAATATGGGCCCGGGACTCTACGGCGTAGCCGTAAGACTACTGCGTGAGACTCTATAACCCTAACCCTAACCCTAACCCTAACCTTAACCCTAACCCTAACCATAACCATAACCCTTACCCTAACCCTAACCCTAATTCTAACCCTAACCCTAATTAACCCGCCGTAGAGTCTTACGCCGTAGAGTCGGCCGGACCAGCCCGCTAGTTAAAAGGCCTGCTATTGCTCAGCCCGCTGTTACAGCCCGCTGATATAGCCCGTATGAAATTTGACCAGTACCGATGTAGCCCGGAGACAGGATAAGAGTTACACTTTATTTTTGTGCCCGGTAGGGCTGGTGATACAGCTCGCGAGCAGATGACATAAAACCTGAACAGTATTATTGATCCACACTGTCACTACACTTTAATAATTTCCACTGCAATATAGTGTTAGTAAAACAAAGACTGTATCAGCTCTGAGGTCACTTCCTAATTCCTATCCCCTATATCACTCAGTCGGCACATGATTGGCTCATATTGAACACGTGACATACATTACTGTTACTATTGTTACAAAATTTGTGGCGACGACCATGTTATATTAGCTGGTTTCGACTTTGAGTTTTTTTTTAATATTACTTAAATCTAGGTGAACTATAGGTAAAAATATAATATTAATCATAAGCTAAAATGTACTAATCTTTGTATTCTAAATGGGGAAAAAGAAGAAACATTGTCAGTCAGTCGAGAAAATTGTCAGTCAGGCTATATGGCAGCTTTGTAGATGTTGTGACTATGCTAGTAGTGGTCCCAGGCTTGCGACTGGAATTGCGGTGTTAAATCGATTTAATGGTATACCAACGATCCACCTCCCACTTGTTGTTTGGTACTTAGCATTAATAGTGTTAGCTGTAGCCATTTATAGCAAGAATCTTAAAACTAAAGGGGATGACAAGGAAAAGAGGAAGGAAAAAGAATAACGGAACAAACACTTAATTAAAGTATTTATAGGAGCATTAGATAATGTAATTACAAGCTTCAATAATAAATCACTGACTAAAACTTCTAATTAAAATGACACTTGGTACGCTCGCCCATTTTCACTGGTCAGTCTGAACTTCGGTTTAGCACGTTGTACACTTATTCACCTAAGTTTCAGAATTTGTTCAGTTTAGCAGAGTTAGTACCCGTGTTTCAATAAATCAAAAGATATCAGGGGAGTTCTTTAATAATGTTATGGTCATCTAGAATACCGAACTTCCTGAAAACGTTATCATATTTCCTCAGACAACGTTTAATGCCTCTAATCAGTCTATCACGGCTATATCCTCTATCAATTAGAATTTTGAATATTTTGTGAAGATGGGAGGTAAAGATATCCAATCTAATGCAAACATTACCATATCTAATAACTTGACTTGAAAAAACGTTGTAGCCAACCTCGGTTGGGATGTTACTGTGAGGAAATGTAAGGGATACAACATGAAAATTAAAATCATCAGTTTTGTTATACACTGATATTTCTAGTCCTTCTGTGGAAATATTAATATTTAAATCAAGGTAGTTAATGATTTTATTATTGGAACCAGCTCGCTCCATCTCCAATGAATTAGGATAAATATCTTTAATCAATTTATGAAAGTAAAGGTAGTTAATAATAGATAAATCGTCAACATATCGTTTATTATTGGATAATATCTTTGCTAATCCCATTTTCTTTTCCTGAAGTAAACGTTTCATATAATTAAATTCCTTTTTGCCAACAGTGAGATCAGCTATAGGAGAACTTGAATTTCCACCCATAGGAATACCCTTGGTTTGTATGAATACAATCCCACCGAAGACGACATAAGTGTTATAAATAATAAATTTAACAGCCTCTTTTAGGTCATCTTGACTAAAGCAGGCATGAGAATCATAGGTTTTATTGGAAAAGAAACATGTATTACTGTCTCTTTTAGAAATACAAATATATCTATTACGGTCTGAAAATATTAAATCAACAACTTCATTAATCATATTCTCTACTTCAATCAAGTCTAATCTGGTATAAAGAGTAGTAAAATCATATACTTGTATATTAGAAACATCGCTATTTTTGATAGCTTCAAGGAATTCACTTGAGGAATCTATGCTCCAAAACATGTTTATACCGCTGTTGTTGTAGATTGCCTCGCAGTATTTCTTGAAGTATTTCCTCAAAAGTTTCAGACAACAGTTAACTTGGACGTTAAGTTGTTTCGTAACGCAAAAACGGGCACCTGCAATGAACCTCGCCTTGTAAGGGTTCTTATGAAGCTTAGGGTTCCAGAAGATGCGTGCTAGTCGCAAGTTTTTATCTTCAACTTGTACATTAAATCTCTCCTTTAGACTCTCAGATATTTTATTGACATAATGAGTCTCGTCTTCGCTACAGGGTTTATATGTATCATTACCTATACATTCTAGAGTATTAGGATCAAAACCCATTTCATTGACAAGAGTTTTTACATAACACTTTTTACAAATAAATGAAAAATTACCAGAAGCTTTGTCGATACTACAAATAATGTATTTACTTTTCAGCAATTTAAGACTTCTTTTAACATCATCTTTTTCCAGTGTGTTTTCTTTTATTTCAAATGTTTCAGGAAAGTTTTTCTTGTAATATTCAATACGATTGGAAACTATTGATAACACGTTTTCCTTCCAATCGCTGAACTTTACTTCTTTTTGACAGTACTTTCTACTTTTTGATTTTATAAATTTATCGACAGCTTCGGTAACTGACATATATATCTCATCTGGAGATTTAAATGTGGGAATTCTGTATTTACAACCGTAGGAAAGTACTTCCCTAAGTTCAACATTATCAACAATATCTAAATTACCAGTAACTACATGTCCATGAGGAGGATAATTGAAAGGGGAGGAGTGACAATCGCATGGACTACCTAAAATAGATTTAATATCAGAAATAGAAAGTTTCTTTAAGAATGAAGCATAGTTACAAATAGAAAGACTTATAGGATCATTATACTCATAATAAATCTGTAATGGTGTAAAAGACTGAAAATGATCCCACTGTGTAAATCTGATATTACGTACCCCATGCCATGTTTGAAGCGTGCTACCTGAGCCTCAGGAATTATATTCTAAGGCTCTAAGAATTCCTGGCAGAAAATGAATAGTAAAACATAACTGTTGCGAAAGGATAACTTTATTTAAGATATGCACACAAAAATAAACAACAATAAATCTACAGAAAATTCGCAATATGACCTCCGTTCTTCTCTACGACCAACTTACAGCTCCGTTTTACTGGTCGGCAAGCCGATCATGCAAAATGAATTGATACCGAGAATGAAATCGGTCGCTCGCTTTTTCCATGGCGTTATAAATATAGAGGTTTGTGAGCGGCATGAAATCAACGTAAGATTGAAGATGTAGATCGATGTATTTTGAGCGAGTTGAGAAAACTTCTGGAAACAAAGCGTGCTACGATTCGCGTAATGTGGGTGTTCCAGTTTTGAGCGTAATAAAAGATTAGTTGTTAGTGTATGGTCTCGTTAATTACTGATTCCGTTGTAATCTTATCACTTCCCTTGCTCTAAGTCTAACCAGAGCCCTCTCGCTTGCAGTAGCGCGCGACCGCCGAAGGCGGCAAATATTCTACTTGTGAAACAAGCGCGTCACGCAGTACGCGTATACACATGGCTATGACGGATGTTACTCGTCTAAATTTCTTCGAAGTAGTGCGCGCCGCTTTCTTCTCGAAATATTATTATTGGCCCGATGGCAAGTGCTACGAAGTAGCGCGCGCCGGGCCATTAAAGGACCAGTTAACTGAAAAATTTGTAGTCTCCAATTTGGCTAAGATTTAAATCAGCTGTGACAAACTGGTAAAGAATCGTATCGCCGAAAGAACCAACTCTCTAGCGTACGTGTAACGCGTGTTATTGCAATAATAAGCTGTGGCCTCGTGACGTCATAAAGTCCCTCAGTGCGCGCTTGCATAGCGTTTAATACATTGCAAATGTTTATCATCGTCAATAAAACACGTGTAACTCACTCAAATTTTAGAATTATGACTATTACCCTAGTTCTCCAAAATCCTTATAGTTTTGGCTATCATCCTAACTAAAGGAATAGCTGATTGGATGTACAGTGCTCACGTCATGATTTAAAACAGTGATATTCATATAGGTTCTTGAACAGTGGCGGGTGAATGTACGGTTAGAATTAGAAAGTTTCTGCTATTACAACTTATGTCATATGTGATAATTTTGGATTATTTTCATTGCTTAATTACACAAGCAGGGAGACTGTACCGATTATTTTTCCCCAGTCCATGAAACTCTAACGAATTTAGAAAGGATCCAGATAAGTAGGAGTTTGTCCAATTCCGAGAGCAATTATATTTATAGCATAGCGAAATTTCTAACTTTAATCCGCATGTGTCAGCCAGTACAAGAGACAAGAAGTCTGGCTACTTTACGGCCGTTCCTCTGGGACCATTAATAGAAGTAGCTTCTATCAGAACAGTGCCGTGGGAACAGAATTCCCGCCAAATTACCCGGTCTACCAAATAGTAATACTGATTGGAGTGTACGGTGTGAGGTGTGTTTTGAATTAGACTTACGGCTTACCTAGTTGTTATCCTAATTGCATTATCATCGGTACATAACATAAATAAACTACTGGTAAGTTTTAATACCAAGTGCA